GTTTAAAAAGCCATAGATAGCAGGTTTAGGGTAATAAGCAAACCTTAAACAGTCCTTCCCACTTTTTGGTCCTGTAGATGAGCAAGTTAGTAAGTTTAGTGCTAAGATTTTGAAGATGGCTTTATAAGCTAATGAAGTAGTACTTCCTGAAATGTAGAGCAGAGCATCACTCAGTGTGCTGGAAGATGCCTGATTCCACTGAGCACATCTCTAAAATCCCTGGACAGTCGTTGTTTAAAAATGTATGGTAGGGTTTAAATGAAAGAAAATACAATATCACTGCATAATAATTATCCTTGAGAACCTGAACTTTAATGCATTTAAAAATAGCTATATATTAGTCTCTACATTAGATAAAATGTAATGAAATTAAAATAATTTAAAAAATCAATTTATTGAAGCAGGTGCGACCTTTTGTGAATACATGCAAATCACTTTAGCTAGTTATAAACTGGCACAAGATTGTCTGCAAAGAGCTTTGCACCTGTGTAACTTTAATGAGTTTTTTAATTGATTTGAATTAAACTGGCACAACTGTTGTGTTTAGACAAGGCCTTAACCTAGCAGTTAATTCAGTAACAGCAGTAGAAACTGGCTTTACTTATTTCTGACAGTGTTCTGCTGTGATTTCCCCCTTTCCAAGAATTTGAACACAAGCTGCTGTTCTTTCTCTGCTCTCCTGTCTTAATTTCCCTCCATAGTTTCCCTTTCTTGTGACCTGCACAGTGATAAAGGTTGCTGCAGTTTGCGCAGACTTCTCAGGAATCACGAAGAGGAATGGCAAGACTCAGTGCATCCTTTCTCTCCCTAGGCAGCCCCTGGCATACTCTGGTGCCAATACCTGTTCTATCAACCTTGTCTTTACTTCTTCAGGGACAAATGGGCAGGCTTCTGGCAGGCTGCTACCAGCTCTGCAAAATCCCCAACCTTTCTTAGAATAACTGAAGCAACATCTTGGGCCTTTTTTTTTAATTATTTTTTATTTTAGAAGAAGACAAAACAAATGACAAAATCCCCCCCAAAACTCATGAAAACCACATGCAGTATTTTTTATGTTTATATTCTTACCTACATGCAAGAGCTGCACAATGTAGAAAACCTGTGGACTTCTGAAGTACCTTTCTCAAGTGTTGTTTTGTTATTTCTAGCACTTGCATGCATGCTTCACCAGACCTTGGTTGTTCTTGGCAAATGCTGCAACGGAGTGTTTTTGCAAAATGTTCATTTTATCCTTTCTACTAGGAAGTAATATGTTGCTTTTGGTTGAGAAGTGTTGGGAAAAAAAAGAAAAAGCCATTTTCTCCAGGGATATCGTGAGTGGCCTTGTCAGACAGTAGAATGGTGATGCTTAGCATGTAAATTCTAAGTCCCCAGAAACTGTAGATACTGGATCTCATTAATATATCATGTTGGAACAGCAGAACTGCTAAGGGACCCAGCTGGAGAGAAAAGCTAGCCCCTGGGGAATGCAGTGAGAGTTGTGTCCATTTTAAATGTATGGGATCTGGGACTGCTTAGTTGTTGTTAATGTGAATTTCCTCACTATATTGAAGCGAGGACAAGGGCAGAATATAGGAAAGAGGCATTCTGCTTTTAGCTGTTACGCCAGCTGCATTTTACAGCATCAGAATAAGATGTGTGGAAACATAGCAAAGAAAAGAAGAAAGGAAAGAAAGAAGATTTTATTTATGTCATTGCTTGAAGCCCTATTTTTGCCTGTAGGATTTTGATCACCCTTTAGTAGTATTTTTCTTCCTTGCCTCCCTTCCCAGAATGTACCACACTATTGCTGATTGGAATTGAATGTAAGGGAAGAGGAAGGAGGTATTTGCATTTTGTCTGTAAACTGCAACTGTATTTCATCAAAGCTTAACTCTTCTGATTTTATTTTGGCCAATAAATTTGAGAAAAGTTTGTAGGTTGGAAAATTTGGCAGTGTTAAATGTATTGCTTTCAGTGCATCAGTACTTCAGCAGGGGCAAAAAAAAAAAAGGAGGAAAGATGATGTAGCACAGTATCAGCAAAGAATTCCCCATGCCTGAAAATTTCTCTGTAAGTATTGTGCAATATATTTCTGTAATTGGGTTTGTAGTCTAAATGTGCCTAGCCTTGAGGAAAGAAGTTATTTTACAGTGGATTGTTTCTAGTGCTTTTCTGTTGTTAGCATTTGAGACTAGTCATTATCTTCTTTTCTATTTTCTACACTGCTTGTAGATATTCTTCTAGTCAACTGCTGCATTAATAACTGCATCAGAATTGCAAAAGAATTTAAATGATTTTGTTGTGGAATGAACTGTGCCAAAACTCACAATGCATTACAGAACAGGAGCTTATGTGTGCTTTGGGATAGAGTAATTTCAGCCCATCCTCACATGCAGATCTGAAGGACTCCATCAAGAAGAAAATGCAGCGGTGACCAATTTATGGATAAGACTTGATTTTTTTGGCTACTGCAATGGCATCAAGAGATTTGACCTCTTCAGAAGTGCAAGAACTGCTGTGTTGCAGAAGGGTTACTAAGAGGACAGAAGCGGACTGAAGATTATGTTCTGTGATATTTAATCTGTTGGTCTTCAGTTATTACTGCAGGAATCTTTTCATCAATGACTGTAGCACTTGCATCCCAGATTTATTGTTATCCAGTTAAATTCATGACGTGGATTTTCTTTTTTAATTATACATCTATCTGGAACAATACATCTTAATATTTAAAAACCTATCTTGAGGAAACTGATCTCACAATAATTGATCCCTACTGCTCAACTCCTTTTGCATTCCTTCTTTAACTATTTGTACTATTTTTCTAGATCTTAGAATACTGAAATCCCTATTGGTAGTTTGTGTTAGTTGTTGATATGTTCTCCCAGACTTAAGAACCCAGCTGGTGTTTCGGATTACTTTCATAGAAGACAATTTACAAATTTCAAAGGAATGCAACCATGAATCTGAAGCAAAAAAAGATGCTTTCTGTTTTGGCTGTATAACAAGTGATGTTGCAAAAACGGAGCCAGAGGACAAATTCTGCTGCCAAAGCACCCAAGTCTCTGTTCAAATTGAGGATAGCACTTTGTGCTCAGATTGTTCCTCTATATATGTTCATATAACAAGCAATTCAGAGCATGGGTTATGTTACTTAAAGATATGTCCATTATGTTCTCCATCACTGGTCCCTTTGGATCAGGTTTAATGTTACAGTGAACTCCATTCCTTGCCAGTGCTCCAGCACGAGTTTGTCCAAGGCTTATAGTCCCTTTAGGGAGTACCTGCACTGGTGCAGCCTTATCTGTTGACCACAGTCCATCTCTACAGAGGTATATCTGTACCTGCCTTACTCATGGGCCACTTTAGGGTGAACTTGTTCCAGTGTGATCCCCTTCAGGGATGTGCCAGCTTCAGCATCCACAGCCACAGATGCTTTGAGATATACCTGCTCTGGTGTAGATTTATCCCCAGTCACAGATGCTTTGAGGCATACGTGCTCCCTCATGGATTTATCCACAGCTCTCAGACCCTTTGACTCAGCTTCCCAATGCAGTTGCAGTCTGTCCAATGCAGCAGCACAGGACCATCAGCCATACCTTGGCCATTACCACATGCCACATACATGGCCAGGGAAACGTTTCCAGTTACATTAGAGTAAGACAAGAAGTAAAGCTCCCTGCAAGCACTAGACTAATATATATTAAAGTGAGCCCCATGGCAGGCACAGGAGCCTGTCAATTAGCAGCAAAACAACTATAAATCCAATCCAGCATGCTCCGATGAAATCTGTTCTGGTCTTAAGCCCCTCGAGCCCCACATTAGGTACCAAAAAAAGGCTGTGATGGTTTAATCCTGCAGAGAAACCCCACACAGGCACTCACTCAGTTCTTCCAGTGTGAGGGGAGGGAGAATTGGGAGGGTAGACCTGCAAACGTGTGGTTTTAAGTGAAGGCAGTCTCAAGGGTAAAGGAAAAGCTGCATGTGCAAGCAAAGCAAAATAAAGAATTCATTCACTACTCCCTATCAGCAGGCAGATGTTTGGCTGTTTCCAGGAAAGCAGAGCTTCTTCATGCATAACGGTTACTTGGGAAGACAAATGCCATAACTCAAGCATCCCCCTCCTGTCTCATTCCTCCTTTCATCCAGCTTGTATTGCTGAGCAAAGCATCACATGGTGTGAAATATCATTCTGGTCAGCTGGGGTCAGCTCTCCTGGCTGTATCCCTTCCCAGGGCTCTCTGCACCCACAGCCTGCTCACAAGCAGGGTGGTGTGACAAACAGAAAAGACCTTGATGCTGTATGAGCATTGGTCAGCAGTAACTAAATCATAACTGACTTCTCAGCACTGTTTTTCATCACAAATTCAAAATAAAGCACTATAGTAGCTACCATGAAGAAAATTAACCCTATCCCAGTCTGTTGCTGTAGCAGCAGAGAGGGTAGTTCATGCTTTGTTTTAGTTATCTTTATTGCAATTTAAAGGAAGAAATCAATCTAAATGTGATTCCATTGTGAAAAAACAAAGCCGTAAGTGTCGAAGGATCTTCCCCAGGCAGTCATTAAGGAAAAGAGGTGGAATCTGGGAACTACGTTACTACATCTGACTACATTTCCATACTTTGTAGAAGCTGTTGTCTAAGAAAGCACCTCTGGCTTTCTGGTACGTTAGCTTTGGCTGGCAGCTAGAATCCCACATAGATGTTAACCGTCAGGGCAGAATGCGGGAAGAAAAGAGGAAAAATAGGAACGAAAAACGTTAAGAGCGGAGGTAAAGACAGGGAAATTGCTTACCAATTACTGTCATGGGCAAAGCAGCATTGACTCGGATTAAGAATTGCAAGGAATACCTGTTCTGCCATGGAACTGCTCTTCCTCTGAGCTTAATGTTCCCTCTGTTGTTTGTAACTCACTCCCTCCTCTTCTCTCTGGCTGGTATTTTCTGCCCTTTCTTATATATATATTCATTTCTTGGATATTTCCTTACAGATATGCCACCATCTTGACCGCTGGGCTCAGCTTTGGCCTGCATTTGGATGTATTGTAGAACTGTCTGGATCCATCTGGGCCCAGCACAGGGCAGCCCCATTGGAGTCTCCCACAACCAAAACCTTGCTGTGTACACCAAGCACTGGTTTCTAAGTCAAGCTGTATAGGGAAGGCAAGCAGGCTGTACGCATCTTGATATCTTTTTGCTGATTCTCAGGAATTCTTCTTAAACATATACTATCCTTGTTTAAAGAGTATCACATGTTTAACGTTATGCTCAAAAGTTGTAAGTATTTATGGATTCAGACCACGTTTTAAAGGAACTCATTTGTTCCTTTAAAATTCCTCATCAGGGAGTGTATGGAACTGCCGAATCACGGCCTGAACCTCTGATTGACCACCTGAGGTGAGCAGCGTCAGCCCTGGGAGCACAGGTGGAAGTGATTCTCCTGTGCTATTGGAAGGGGTGGAGGCCTGGCTGCACCTCTCCTAGACCCCATTTTAAGAGGTGACCAGCAGTGGGGAAAGTTCTCTTTTGGAGATGGCTCCTCTTGGAATCTTCTCAGCAAGCCCAAGATAAGGGTAAGCTTTCCATTCGTTCTTCTTTAGCGTGGTGACCTGTTTAGCCTAATTTTCCTGTATATTTCTTAATTATAATATCTGTATATTCATTGATTATACAGAGAATGAGTTCAAAGGTTTTGAAGTTGGAGGACTCTCCTCTTTTTTTTTTTTTTTAATCTTGACATGCAAGGTTATTTAATTTGCTGGATTGCTTATGCTTTATCTCCTTCATGTGACTTCCACTTCTATCAGAGATACACTCCGTGGTTTTTATTGCAGGCAGATGGTAAGATTTGTGTGGAAATCATAGGCAGTTTTTATTGAGCTGTTAATTACTGACATTTGCATTATTAGGCGTGGTAATCTCTTATTTCTGCAACAGTTACCCTTCTTCTGGAGAGAGAAGGGACATGTATTAGTCTATGGCTTTCTTGTTTTCTTCTTCAATTCAAATTGCATTAGATAACAACATGGAGGAGACTGTTCAAATGCTCTTTCAATGGCATTAAAGTAATTTGTCAGGCTTGGGAAAATGCAGTGTCATTTCATTGTAGTACCTCTGCTCTTCTGTTCCCTGTAGCTCAGTGTGCACTGTCCTAACCTGAACTGTCAAGTGAAAGTTTGATGTGGCTTCTTCTAAAGTGGTGGGAGAAAATTGCCATTAAAACAGTCGCTACTGGTTCTCATGGGCAGAATCTAGGAAAGCTGTGAATATTAAGTGCAAAGACTGGCTATCTTTTACTTAATGCTCTGTTTTAGTTGGGATAGAAATACGCTTCCAAAGATCAGGCAGATCCTCCAGAGTATTATAAGTACTGTCTGTCAGCATAATACAATTATGTTTTGGAGTTCTATGGAGACTCCTAAAAATTCAGAAACACAAGGTCAAACCCTGAGTGCTTTTAGGTGTTCACTCCCAGATCGTATTAATTTATGATAGCAAGAAGTTGTCTCTATATCTGTCACATAGTAGAAAAATCTGAAGTGCCGCAGGTCCTCGGTAGGATTAAAAAATGAAATATCAATATTTTAGTTCCCCTGTCTCGTTATTCTGTTATCTTTTTGTTCATACAGCCAACACCCTGGTACCTAGATTCTTGATAAGGGAACAACCCTATTCAGCTTCCTCAGCATCAATGCGAGATAGGTCTGTAAGAAATGTGTATAGTAAGCTTTCCTTTCCTTCAGAGTGAGATATTCTACAATCATAATTTGTTCTGCCTATCCTTGCCTGAGAAACGAATACCTCTCAATGCAGGTTTTTAATGTGGTAATTAAACATTCCTGCATTTTATCTTAAGTTCATTTTGGAAGCAGTGCTGTCATCATTCCTAACCATTGCTTTTTATTAACTGTTGGGAAGCCACCTTATTGCATATTGGGAGATTAACTGTAATTAGATTCTATCTCACTAAAACACTGCTATGTAAACCACTTCTCCTCCTGTTTAATTGAGGAACTGAACATGGAGAGACTTTGTTAACAAGGAAAGGATGAATATTTAAATTGGCCAGAACGGTATTATGGCTCTTCTGGGCCTTTTAAGTACATAGTTATTGGTATTACCTCCTTTCCTATGCTTATCCAGTCCTTATTTTCAGGTTGCCTGAAGCTTGAGAAATGCGCTGGAGTTATAAATAATATACTGGTAGCAAAGTTGAGATGTCTGGTGTACAAAACAAGCCCATCAGCATATGTACATTGTGAACAAATAAACACTATGTGTTTCTGTCTGTGTCTGGTCAGTTTTGAATCTGTGGAAAATGTCTATTTCTTAGTTAAACATAGTTGTGGCAGAGCTTTTTCTCATTTCTCCAAGAGTGGAGTCATAGGATCCAGCTCCTTTGGTGGCAGGGTTGTTGTTTACAGTTTTCAAAGTGTGATGTGTGCAGCTCCATCCTAGGTTTCTTTGAGGAGTTTGCAAAAGGAAGCATTAAATCAATGACCTTAGATTGACTATGGAAACCTCTTGAAGTACCTCTTCACAGGAAAACTCTTTGAGGTGTAAACTTGAAAAGGAGGGAAAACAAGTATTTTGTTGTAGTATTTATGCTGTTGCTTTTCTGCAGGGTCCTTTACTGCAGGCAAGGAGCTGCCCCAGTCCTGTCTGCTGGCAAATAGAGTTAATGCATTGGCTCAAAGAACTGTAAAGATGCTACAGTGTATTTTACCTTTTAGACACTGTTTGTTTTGAATATCTGCACCTAAAGCTGATAAAATCTAGATTTCCTAGGGTAACAATACTGCAAACTGGCATGTACTTCTGTACATACACCGTTAATATTAAGTAGTCTTAAGTTTCTTGAACTTCAGCTGTGTTGCAGGGGTGCCAACTGCTATACCTGAAGCAGAAGGGAAGAAAACGGGGGCAATAATTGTGGAGTACTTCAGTTCTAGAGAAACACAAGCAGGGTTTTCAGTCCTTAACTCTTATTCTGTGACTATGGTGGAGGGAAGAGAAAATCGCTTGTACCTTAAGAAGCATACACGAAATTCTAGTGAGTGGGAGCATTCTTGATGCTTAGCTACCTGGTTAATTTAGGCAACTTGCCTCTGGTAATATAGTTAAGCATTTCTTGCTGTGAGTTTTCACATTCTTTTGTAGATGGAGTTGCTTGGATTCTAACTGGGCTGAATCACTGATAGAAGACTGGGGTTATGAGAGGAGACAGTCTGTGGATTTTCCTGTTAAGGTTTCCATCTAGGTGAGGTGAAGAGCTGGCAGAGCATACTTAGAGTGATCTGTTAGGCTTGTCTTTTATGTCACGTTCTTTGAGGAAGCCAGAAGGATGACTATTAACTAGAAAGTTCTAGACAGTCTTCTAGGTATGTTTTAAATCTCCCATTTCTATGAAAAATTAACAGAAGAGCTGTGGTTAATAAATAAAATACATTGCAGTGCTCTTTCTAGAGATCAGGTTGTTTTGATCATTTGAAGTTTGATTGTATGTCTGGATATGACAAAGGAGATAGATTTGAGGATTCTGTCTAGCAGTGGCTGAGATGAGGATGTCCCTGCAGATTTCTGATGATGGGAGGGACGTTGCTTGCAGGTTGGAAATATTTTTGTAAGATCTGCTTTCATATTATCTCTTTTGGGATGTTTTACTTGAAATCTGTCACTTAAAATTTTTTGAAATACACAAGCCTTGAGTTGAGCACTTAAGCTAAGTATTTCACTTTAAGCGCATGTAAGCCTCCATTAAAGTGCACAGAGTTAACTTTATGCTGTTTTGCTAGGTCAAGTCCCTAGATAGTTCAATGTAAATAAATATGCATCTTGAAATGAGCATTGTTCCCAGGTTTGGTGAAAGAATTTTTGCTTTCTATATTAATGTAAATCTTGGTATAAATCTCCATTGAATGCAGTTTTTTTTATAAATCTGCTTTTCAGCAAACCAGATAAAGGAAGCATACCACAAATATTCCTCCCTCTCTCCCACTCTTCCCTCAATTGCATTTGATCAGATTTCTATATATTGGTGCTACTATTTTATTAAGAATTTATGAAATACTGAGCAGAAGATACCTCTCTTTTCAACAGCCTAAGGGCTGGATTTGTGCACTGTTCCATGCTGTTATATAAGGGAAGAGACAGCGCAAGACGTCACCTGCCTTCCTACTCCAACCCAGCATAATGCCAGTCATTGTGCTAAGAAACTCTATTATCACTCTGCAAATAGGATTAAGCCACTGTCAGTAAGAGTTATTCATAGTTTTGAAAGAATCAGCCCACAGAAGTGGATATCAGATTCTTATTTTTGGTGATGGGGGTGTACCTTGAGTGTGAGGAGCTCAAAGTTCCTCAAAGCCTGGCTGGCTGTGCTCAGGAGTAACTAGTAGGCGTAGCCTGTACGTAGCCTGTCTGGCCTATAGGAAAGACTGTGTAGGTCCACAATATGGAAAGCAGAAAGCAATTGCTGGGACTACACATCACTGCAGGGTCATCAGCTGCTTACTGTAAGGGATGAGTAGTGGGGTCATGCACTGCGTTAGCTACCAGTGTTTCTCAGGAAGGATTTGCATTTGGGCTCCCAAGAGCACCTTGCTCTGCACACCTTGTGGAAGCAGGTATCAGTAACTGAGGCCCCATCTTCATCCTTTCTTTTTCATTCTTTTGAATTGTAGGTGCCCCAAATTCAGCCCAGAACATCTTTCTTGTAGGGTAAAGGTGCAACTCAAGGTGACAATATTAATTTTAGGCATTTTAGTAATTATCCCAAGTTAGTCTGGGAAAAATCCAGGTCGCTTCAGGAATTCTCACTGATACGATGAATCATTTATTGCTCTAACTTGACATGTAGATTCACAGCTCAAATTGGGTTTAAAAGCCTGTTATGTACTTTTTTTTTTTTTTAATGTATGACTGCTATTTCACTCTGCTCTGGGCATACAGCAAGTTGTACTGGACCAGTCAAATGTAAACACATCAGAAAGTATAATATTTAAAGCATGATACAGTGGTTGTGAAATGGTGCTTAAATCTAAATCATTTATTTGCTTTCATTGTGGTTTTTAGAGTCTTTAGTGAATCTCTCCGATTTCTTAACCTTAATATCTTCCAGAAAGTTAAAATTTTTTGTAAGATGCTGTGATTGTCAAGAAATGAGTTTTATTGCATATATATTTAAAAAGTCATTGATCTTCACGTAGTATATGAATCATAGATTTTACAGATAGGAGAAAGCCACTGGATTATGTAGTTGATCTTCTCACTGTTGCAAACTCTCTACCATAAATTTTTCCAGTGCAACACCAATGTTCATAAATCCATGGGACCTGATGGAATACATCCACAGGGATATGGAGGTGATTGCTGAACTGCTTTCTGTTATCTTTGAGAGGTCATGGAGAATGGGGGAGATGCCTGAAGACTGAAGGATAGCCAATGTCACTCCAGTCTTCAAAAAGGAAGATCCAGGTATTTACAGGCCAGTCAGCCTCACCTCTGTCCCTGGAAAGGTGATGGAACAGCTTGTGCTGGATGCCATCTCCAGACAGCTGGAAGAAAAGGGGGT